TCATGCTGCTCAAATGAAAATGTACTTTTGTCTTCATTTGATTAATAAACTGATGATCTAGCCTGGCTACGGGTACTAAAAAAAAAAATAATAATAATAATGTTAAAGGATTAAATCAAAATAGTTTTTATATATTCAAGAAGCAGCATATAGATAATTTTATAATTTCTATTTGAATTATAATTAATATGAATTTATAAATAAATTAATAAATTATACAAATAAAAAAGATTCATTTTCCATAATATTTATTCAAATTTTACAAAAATTTTTTTACATTACTAATACAACATGGCTCATATAACTAATGATAGGTCCCTAAAGTATTGAATATACAAAATTTTACAGATTACTTATGTTCCTTTTTAAGGGACAAAATTTATAGCTCTTTATTTTAATAAGAACAAAAGTTAGAAAATGCTATAAATCAATGATTTGAATAATGGAAAATAATTATAAATAGTTTTTTATAGTTATTAATTTAAAAATTTTCATGTTTCCTAGTGAGAAATATATGATTTTTATTTCTATTTTCCTCTTTAGAGATCCATCTTTACATACTGTATAATATCAAATTTAAGTAAATTTGCATGCCATCTTTTATCAATCCTATCTAATCCTGCAACTTTGAAATGAGTATAATCTTTATTGGATAATATCTACACAAAATCTTGCAATCAATTAATATTATCATGAACTGTAAAGATGATACAAATTTCATGATATACAGTATAAATAAAAAGTCAAGATATCAAGAAAAACCAAAAAAAACTCGAAGAATTATATGAAGAAATGGTGGATAATAGAGAATATATAGATAGTGATAATAATATAGATGAAGTTATAAATAGTTTAAATTTGGTATCAAAAAAATTTTAATAGATGATATTCAAATATGTAAAGATAGTGAAGAAAATTTCCTCGAACTTCAAGATATTTTCGATTCCAAAATTATTGAAAAATCATTGGGTTCTTATATTTGTAATTTATTCATATAATATTAATAGCATAAAATATGGAGTTAGAATTATTAATATAGAAATATAACGATAGAATAGTAATTACCATTATTAATTATTAATAACCTCGAAGGTCCCATCTCTCTCTATATATACAGTATTTCTATTATATATGAATTCTTAAAATATTTTTAAGCATAGCATTTTACTCAAAAATCCTATTAAAAATTTATCGCATAATTTATTAAAAATTTTTTTTATATTTAAAGCAAAGATATGTATCCATAAATTGTAAAAAATGATGTTAAAAAAGATCAATCGATCTATATACTATGTACATACGCATATACTGTACAGTATATACATATGGTCGATCATTTTCGAAGGCGACCAAAATATTTTTTTCGGTCCCCGTTTTTTTTTCCGAATAATACGTATATAATGCAAATTTCAGGATCGCAATTATAGGATTCGAAAAAATCCCTGTCCGCCTTCGAAAATAATTACCCCCCAAAAACTTGGGGACCACGTGAAGTACTGAAGTCGATTTCTTTAATAATAATTGAATATGCCGGATACCAATTGCTTCCCATAGAGCAGAATAAAGTTACCAATCACATTAAGAACAGAGGCGGTTTCAAAAAAAAAAAAAAGAAAAGAAAGAGGATCAATAATAGATACGCCGTATGCCAATTGCCTCTCACAAAGTTATCACATGAAAGAAAGATGCGGTTTTAAAACAATTTTTAATTAAATGATTGAGCTATTTATAAGGACCACCGTACAGTATACAATTAATGGCATCAATGTCTTAATTTAGAATTCTAGATCATCAACCCAGATCGTGTTCAGACAATCACTTTGATCGCTAAACCAAAAAACGCATTGGTATTGCTTACGTCATGGCGTACATGTACAACGAAACTGCTTAAGGGAGCCCTGTAGGGTACCCGCGAAAAAATATTGCATATGTTTTAGGATGAGGCTTCGAACTATATGACATAAGGCGTGCCTACGAAAAAAAAACCCTCATTATGATCCTTCTTCAGCGCCGATTTTTATTTGCCTTTCGATTTCATTGAACACGGTGAACAAATGTTCACCTGCACCTGGATAACTAAGTGAAGATAAAGGAAAAATCTAGGTTTTTGGCGAACAGTTTAACGCAAACAAAAATGAGGCGCAAAAGGTGCGACCGAAAAACGAAGGATTACGGGTTGGTAATAATTGAAGAAAGAAGTGCGTTCGTACGAGAAGTTATCAACGCAATATGCAAATTTCTAAGCGATCGAGTGTTAAAATCACGATTTGCTATATGATACTAGATACCACATTGCTGCTGCCAAGAAAACTTCTGCCGCTGAGTAAACCTTGGAAAATCATGAGATATAAGTATTGGCTGATGTGAAAGGAATCGACATGCTGTATGTACAGTATGCTCTGGTGACAAATTATCCTTCGGTACAATGAACGTTAGGATCAACTGGTAATTGCAAAAATGTGGATTCGGAGAAACATAGTAACACTATTTGTCTTTAAAAGTGAGTGTTTTCGCTGATATAAAAATACAGTATCGACATATGGCGTACGAATTAATAGGGGTGAACGCACCAATTACACGATTCGAGAAAAATAATATCAAAATAATTGGTCAACGAACTCATCCGATCTAAACCTAATTAAATTTGCTAAAGACAACGTGCAAAAATGTATGAAGCCGAAAATTGCCTTGAGAGGAGAGCAGAAAAATTGCATCTTTTCTTTGTGAGGACGTGCCGCGAAGAATCATCGCAGTGTTGCAGTGGTCAACGAATGTTAAAAGAAGAAGGTTTTTTTTTTTTTTTTCTTACATAACGTAGAAAATGAGATTAATATGAGGGTTTATTACATAATAATAACTTATTGTACACAAAGAAATAATTATCCTTTACTGGCAAGTTACCTGGAGGATCCAGAATATATTCACACGGAATTTCCTCGAGCAAAAAAAAAAGAAAAGAAAATAGGACGGCGTTAAAGAATATTAATTTAAATTGCGTGATGGATGGTACGCATATACAATGATGAGCTCATAGAGGTTAATGCAATACGATACAATCTGCGCTTTAATCATTGATGACATCTTTATCACTTTCTAGGAGTTGCGGCATGATTATATGGTTCGGACAACACTCCATCCGCCTTCCTGGTATCAAAGCATTTTAGAACGTGTGGCCGACTATTTTCGAAGGTGGACCGGTGTTTCCGGGCTCTCGAATGAAATTAATTTAAATCCATGTTTCTACTGTAGTTATGAACTTGAAAATTTTCAGAAAATCCAGTGATTACCCACGCCTGCATAGCATAGTCTTTTAATGTGGGGATCATGTGATTTTCAAGCTGTTGGTCACGTGAAAGTCAGGCCCTATTATTACCCTCGAGAAAATGAGATTGTTGGCGCCTGAAGCATCGTATCTACGAATTGGTCGGATATGTTCATTTGGATGGCGTCTTTATCGATTTTAATCGTTCCCAATTATGCGTATACGAAAATGGAAGAATCAAGGTAACTCGATATCTTGCGGTGAGATGACGGATTTTCACTCTAGTACCTACTAAAGTTGTGATGACTTTTTCTTTTCTTTTTTATCAACGTAACGAGGTGTAGCATTTGATTATGTGTACACATGTGTCGTACAGTAGGCGATCAGTTGTGTACATAAAGATCCATAAGAATTCATTCATTCATCCATTAGCGCATTTCACTGTCAAAGAAGGATGATGAATCTCGAAGTCATGGTGACTAGGGAACCTACACCCGATGGTTGAAATTTACGCGTATCACCGACGACCTCGAAATTCGGATCTCATGATTTACTAACGGTTTGTTTGGTGTCATCCACCATATATCCATCTATCCTCTTTTATTCCTTTAACATCGACAAATATGGATAATTCTTTTCGAGGGCGGACAGGGATTTTTCGGACCCTATAATTGTGATCCGAAAATTTGTATTATACATATATGTATTATCTAAAATGGGAGCCGAAAAAATCATATCCAATATTTTGGTCGCCTTCAAAAATAATTGTCCTATACGTCATATCAACAATACATTCATTAAGTATGCGTCCCGATACTGTAAGATGATATCACGAAGGAAGAAAGATGGATGGCTATTTAAAATCATAAGTTGACTTCATTCAATGCATGATTATATTAATAGTAATTAATAATAAACAACTGATTCAATTATTTCATGATGATTCGGATAAAACACCAAGGATCCTTGTATGAGATAAAGGATGGCTATCTAATCTACCAGTTCATAGGCAATTAAAAATTCACCGTTTACGGATAAGATAATAATCACTGTGAAACCGTCACGTGGTGCATGCGGTTCCTTTTATGACAATTAATTGGCACGTGCGGACAATTTGAATCCATTGTTTTCGGAGGTATGGGAACATAGATACACATCGACATCAAGGAATCACGTAGTGCGTTAGATACCGCCGTCTCATCACTAAACTAATTTGGATTGAACAGTGGCGAGATTACGAAAAAGGTGGATACAGTGATTGTTCGTGTTTTTTGCACCATCTCGTACTAAACCGACCGATTGCCAGAAACTGCAATGATCGCAAGCATTCATGCCCAAAAGGGGTAATTCCAAAATGGGAACGGAAGTGCCTTTTTTTTTCGTGGTTTCGTTGACTTAATACAGCAACGGGTCTTAAACTACGAGTTATCTGGCTTTTAGTTGTTTCGGGTACACTACAAGATAATATTCTTACTCGTGTTGATCGAAGATATGATTAGATAATTGCGCGCAGAAAGATTGGTATAAAAAAGATTGGATGCCAGCCTCAGAAAATTTTCTATTGCCAAAATTTTCCCTCCAGTCTCCTCCTTCCTCCTTCTTCTTTTTTTTATGTTCATCGGGTTAGAAGTGTGACAGTGTGCGATGAAATTTGCCAAAACCCTTCAATCCAAAGTTGTACTAGAATGGAGCACAAAGTAATCTTTCCTCATTACTACTAATTCATGTCGACGTGTAACGAGTTTTTGTTTCTCCTTCTTTCTTTTCTTTGATGACCATCTCTCAAATTTCAACAATCATTTCAGATACATTGACTATAAAGGTTTGAAGGGGAAGTTGAGAACCGTCGAGCGAACAAAGAGCACCCGAGAGAATCGTCTGTCTTCCACGACCTTGAGGCGAAGTACTGATACAATCAGGAGCTCAAATGTATCCGAGCATCCTAAGCCTCAAGGGCTATTTTCGAACTCGTCTCAACGTGCCATGAGCTTGACGAGTATAGCTGAAAGCACGAGCTCCTTGATTAACAAAGTCTCCTCCATGTTGACAAACTGGAAGAAACACTCGGTAGATTCCACGTTACCTGAACACAGTAGGCTGACATCCTTTTCTCTACCTCATTCGTAAGGAAGCGAGCATCACTTATGACCTTGATTTCCCAATATCATAGACCCGACGCCAATCGTTATAACCTCCATCGAAACATTAATGCATCAAGTTAATCGTTATGAACGTGAATTTTTTATGATGCTGAAGGAGGAGCTGGAAAAAGTCGATCGCTTCTACGAATGTAAGCATATATTTTAGACTAACCAGCAACCACCACAATCATTTTTCCCTAATTCTTCTCTCTTGGTAATTATGAAATAGCCAAGGAGAAAGAATCAGTAGAATCATTCGAGGTCATAAAACGACAATATGTAAGTTTACAGATTGAAATCCAGGCGCCTACTAAAAAGAGAGACCAATAATTCTCCGTTGCACCAATTAGTCACGAGGCAGGTGGGCTAAACAAAGTACCGCAGCCGATGGCCCGACAATCTCAGGTTCGCCGGACGAACGGCAGCAAAAGGAGGTGAAACATAAGAAAGTAAAGAAATTGATAGAAAAAGCTCTGTTCGAAATTTACAGGGGCGCCGAATTGTTGAGAAAGTATCGGGTAAATACGGAAAGAGAACACGCGCAATTATTACTTTCGTGTGAGGCTCACGGTATCGTGCACTAATCCTTTTACTCTAAAAATTCCTAGGTCCTCAATCGGATAGGCTTTGAAAAAGTATTGAAGAAATATGAAAAGGTAGTAGGGTTGGTTGCTATTGCTGCACTTCCTTTCGCGTTGGCGTAAGCGAGTACACGGGGTAACCAAATGTCAATTGGTGTACGCATTTTATCATAGATCACCAATGTGAAAGTTAGCAAGTTATACTTATCCACCATCGTCAACGAAAAAAGTTTTGTGAAATCAAGTAAACTGGAAAAACTCATTAGAGAGGTTGAGGTAATTGTTTGGGACCTCGGAATAACCCCTCAAATGCCTAAATTTGTATCTTTACTTATTCTTCCTTAATCTCCATCATAGGATTTCTACTCCGTCCATTTTGAAGAAGGTTCGCGAAAACGTTCGATGAGAAAGCTCCATGTCCCTAACAAGAAGAATGTCGTACGTTATTCACCCATCCACTCCTCGAACACGTGCTGTTCCATGCACATAACTAATCATCTCCTTACATATTTCCTCAGAGTCACCATGACTCTACGTTAAAAATCGGAATGTACCTGGGAATCGGGCTTCCTTTTTTCATTCATTCGGTTTTTCTCGGTGAGTTGACGGTCTTACGCACACAGCCTCTCCTATTATTCGTTTCATTATTCGATAAGGCTAACCCATCTAATTTCTGTAGCCTTTAAAAAAGACCAGGAACTATTTTTGCACGACGTGAATAGTGTCGAAGTCAAAGACTACTTCGACGACAATAACCAACGCAGCATAATGCAGTTATACGCCGGCATAGGACTTCCGATAGTTCTTATGTTAATACTCGGTGTTAACATGCACGTTTGGACACGAGCACGAATAAATTACAAGTTCATTCTTGAACTTAACCCACGTGATAACATAGACTATCTTCAATACTTGGAGGTTGTTTTCCTTGTTTCTTTTCTTGTTCTTTTTTGTTTTTCTTTGGAATCCAGTTCATTTTTAAAGTTGGCTTAATCCCTTCTTTTAAATAGATTCCCTCCCTGATGTTTCTGGCGTTAAGTCTCTTCATGTACCTGACCATCGAGAATACCTTTGGCATTAATCCAGAGAATTATCCCAGAATACTGGCGGTCCTCGGTCTTGCTGTCGTCCTCATGCCTATTAAAAGATTTTACTATAATGCAAGACGATGGTTCATCTTTACAATTGTGAGTATCCGACAAGTTTGCGAATGATGTCATGACGCCTTCACTCATAAAAAATTCTTTTCACTCGTTTCAATAAAGGCTCGAGTTTTTGCATCACCATTTACGAGCGTCGGATTCCGTGAATTCTTCCTCGCTGATGAACTAACAAGTCTGACATTTTCCTTTTCGAATTTACAAGTTTTTTTTTGCACCTGTGAAAATAATAAATGTGGTAAGTTCTTGTCATCTCCTTCATTGGCCCCGACCGGTAATACCCAAAATCTCAACCTTCCATAATATTTCCGTAGCATCCGTTTGCTACACGTCGAAATCTCATCTTTCCCCGGTCCTCGCCTCCATCCCTGCCACCTTACGCGTACTTCAGTGCCTCAGACGTTTTTACGACACACGCAATTTCATTCATTTAATAAACTTTGGAAAATACATTTCGGTGATCCTCGCCGGCTGTATGCTCTATTTGTACCGCCTGAAAAGTAATATATCGCCTTGTGATGCACATTCTTGGCATTTGCCAAACTAATTCCTAACTAATAATCACCTAAAAAAAATTTCAGTTGAATCCTCTTTTTTACAGATCAAAATATTTTGGATCGTTGCTCAAGTATTTTACTCGGTATACACATTTACGTGGGATGTTAAAATGGATTGGAGGTTATTTAGACCTAGCTCCAACATTTTCTTGAGAGACCAACTAGCATACAGACGCAAATGGGTTTACTATGTTGCTATTGTGGTCGACTTTCTAATGAGATTCGGTTGGACTCTTGTTCTTATTAACGATTCCGCTTTCATGTTATTCGCAGTTGCATTCGGAGAAGCATTTAGGTATTATTAATTGATCAAACCCCCCCCCCCCCAATTCTTTTTCACCGCTTATTTTTTCATTCGTATATCCAATATAATTATAATAACGCACCTTCTATTTGGCAGACGCGGAATTTGGAACTTCTTTCGCGTGGAAATTGATGTACGTATCTTTCGTGCGTGCCCACACCATTCATAGTTTACTGATACACAATCTTTTTTTTTTTATCTCTTTAGCATGCCAACAATTGTGTTAAATCCAGAGCCATCGGCATCGACAAAATAATTAATAGATTAATGGGCGATTCCATCTTAGAAGAGAAAGACCTGCAAGATTTTTCGATCGGCACCTTCGAATCGGAGGGAGATGACGATGGGTATAAAGATTTCGAAACGAGAAATGGCAGCGAAAGATATGAATATAGCGAATATGAAGAATACGAAGACGACAACAACGATGAAGAAGACAGCTTTAGTGACGAACCGAAATTCAAAAAATATGATTTTTACACGGCATCATACGCAAGTCGGAGATTACCAATACCGATGTCCATTCCCAGTATAATCGAAGTGCCGGAAAATGAGAGTAGTGGCTTAAGCAGTTTAAGCATGGTATAGCATCAAAAGAAAATTACAGATTGGAATTCTGTGAGGTGGAATAGGTTTTTAGACATCTTTATTCATTCACTAGGATAACGGTTAAGACACTTTCTTTTTTTCTTTTTTTTTCTTTCGGTGATAGAATACATATGTTTTTGGTGCTTTTATCACATAAGGTGTTCTCTTCTTTCGTTGGTTCACTTGTTTCTTTTTTTTTTTTTTGTTTCATATTTTCCCCATCCTCTCATTTACCACGAGAGACTCTCTTCTTTTTCTTTAATTTTACCCTTACTCTCTCCCCTCTTCCTTCCGCCCGCGCCATCAATCCTCCCAAATACCCACACGCCTCGGTGACTAAACAAAATTATATATATATATATATACAGTATATACGTATATAGCAGTTTTTATTCTATTTTAATAACAAACAAGATCTCAGATGCTGTACATACAGTATACAGTGTATTCAAGACGAATTTTCCGACGACAAAAACTATTTAAAAAAAAAAAAAAAAAAAAAAAAAAAAAAGCACAAAAAAAAATTTTTTTAAGATACTGTATGTCCTTAATATTATGAAAAATAAATCAATGTAAATCAAATTACGTCCGTAAACAAACTTTGCAAAATGTAACAATTAATGATGTAAGAATGACGTTATGGGTGATGTCTCTTTGGATTTTTTAAGGTATAAATAGTTTGCTGGCAGAAAGGGGAGATATCCGTATTTCGGTAACACCCTAACCTAGCATTTTTACAATATGTTTCATAACCGGTTGTCCCGTCTTCATTCGATCCTTGGATTGACGTTAAGTAGGTCGCGTGGCAAAGAGGTTAATTCCGTAAGTGTGATCAAAAGTCGATAATTGTCTTTAAAAAAAAAAAGACCCAAAATTTATTTAGTAACAAACTTGCTTTCTAGTATACAACATTAGGATACGGAGATCATGTCAACAAAGACAAAGGATCCCTTGATCATGGGCCGAACCCCCCCGACCAAGGGGCTGATGCTAAAAATAATAAGAATCGACAAAATCACAACGATCAGCCATTCCCACCCTCAAATGACGAGGACAAAAATGGAAATCAAAAGATGTCCGAAAATTGTCGCGCACTTGACCACGAAGCTGCGAAGGATGAGGACTATGTTGAGGGCGATTACTGGAGCGAGCCAGTCGGTCAATCTAAAAATTATAACGCGAGTGTGGGTTAGAGAGAAGGATCCGTGGGAAATTGTTATTCTCTTCATCCAATCGCAGGACGATATCAATTTTTTCTTTTTCTTATTTTTCGTATACCGCAAAAAATAAATTGACCATAAAATTATTATTGACATCGGATGTCAGCTGAATTTAAAAATTCCAAAATAAGAAATGTGGCTTAGTAGTAGGCTGATGGGTTTACAAGTTATCGTTACGCACAGTATTGGTTTTCCGAAACTCTACTTTTTGGAGTGATGATCGAAAACGCCGTTTTGATAAAGCAAGGGGCCGAAGCCGTAAGTGATATGGAAAATTTATAACCAATAATAATTTTTTAACAAGTCTATCCTGTAAAAAATAAAAATAAAAAAATAAGCGCGTCTATATCGCGCCTTTCCTAACTCGAAAAGCAATTGTTAAAGAAAGATTCAAAAAGAACTATCGCCATCCGGTCCTCGATAAAAAGCTCACTGTAAGGAGGGTCACTCAGGTAGTAAATTACCGTCGTTGACGTTATACATCGTCCGACTAGATCTGTTAGCTTGAAAAAAAAAAAAATGCAAACTTTTTTTTTAACAAGGAAGCAAGGTGTCTTTTCAAATGTCGTAAATCAGGCGTGGACACCCCAGTACTATACTTCGTAGACTTGGAAGAGAGTATAATATATATGGAGTTTGTTGAGGGAAAAGTCATCAAAGACTTAATATTGGAAGTGAATGGAGAATGGTCGTGTGAAGAAAACAAAGGTCCCTATATTGATGCCGATGGTCATTTGATTTAATTACTCAACTCGGCTTAGTGAAATCGTCTCTGCATAATTACTTCCAGTGCAACTGGCAGAAAAGATCGGTGTAGCAATAGCGAGAATGCACGCGGTTGACGTCATCCACGGGGATTTAACTACCTCGAATCTTTTACTGAGAAATTCCAATAAGTCTTTGGTTTGAGTTTCGTTCATCTTTTGAATATTCAAGGAAAACACGATGCAATACTAAGATATCCCTTGTGTGATTTAGGTGGTCATAGATTTCGGATTGAGCTATGTATCTTCATTACCAGAGGACAAGGCCGTAGATTTGTATGTGCTGGAAAGAGCCTTTCTGAGCACACATCCGAATTCCGAAGACATGGTGAGACAACTATTTTAGTAAAAAGAAAATGTTGTCGAGAAACTTTGGTCGTTCTCACAGTTGGAAGGGCTGAATCGATCTGACTATATTGTTAATATCATTGATATAACTTTCTGTGATTAGTTTACTGCCATTCTGAAGGCTTACGAGGTAAACTATAAGGCGGCTAAGGGAGTTTTGACAAAATTGGCGGATGGTGAGACCTTTTCGAAAATTTTTTTTTTTTTTTTTTTTTTTTTTTTTTTTTTTGAAAATGAGTGAAATTATCTCGACTATTTTAACTTGTGTGTCTGGACCTGATAGTTCGTCTGAGGGGCCGTAAGAGAAGTATGGTCGGATAAATTTGGAGTCACCCGACCTCATATGTAGCTGAAATACTTCAATTTTGATACAACTTGTCTATGCTGTCAAGATCTTTCTTGAAATTTCAATTAGCCCAATACTGCGACAAATAAAAATTAATATATAAGAAATATTCAATTGTTGTTGGAAAATTCAATTAATATTTTTCGTACAGTAAAACTTCACTTGCTATGTTACTTTTCACCATCCTTTATCGATATTGGAAGTATTTACTAAAAACGATTTAAGTTTTTTTCGCACCATTTAAAGATTTATTGGTTAATAGATGGTTCTATAAAGAACTAAGAATGTGTTTTAATATCTAAGCTTGATCCAATTAAGACAGAAAATATTAAATATCTATTATATAATGATTTATTATATTTTAAAATACTTGATTTTATTTATTATTATCAATTTGTAATAATAAAATTTCAAAATTTCGGATTTTGATTATGCAGCTAACTGCTTTTAATTCGACCAACTCCGTTTCAGAGCAAATTAGTATATAGATCAAATTAACAACAAATATCTTAAGGAAAAACGAGAATTGAGAAATGATTGAATTATACTGTATATAGTAAAAATCAAATTTCGGAGATTGAACTATTGGCAGTTGCTATATCTATTTATAATCTTATATAACCCAACAAGAATTGAGTTATATTATATTAGTATAATATTTTCTAATAGTTATATTTGATTAAAAAATTTTTACTAGTATATTATATACTGTATTTTTCACTATTCAAAAAATCAAATTTTTAATAATATTTTTATCTTGTAATTATTATTTTTTTTAATTCACAATTTCATATAACTTAATCTTATTGAAAAATTGATGTAACTATTTATAATATTAGATTTTTCACATAATAACTAACATATTATTGCACCAAAGTACTTTAAGTCAAGTTTAGAGACAATATTTCACTCTTCTAGAGAATTGATATAAATCTTTATCTACTAGATTCATTATCAACTGTAGATTGCTTAAAAATTATAGATTGTTAAATTAATAAAGAGAAAAAGAAAAAAAAAAAAAAAGAAAAAGAGGTATAATTTAAATTATTCTAAAAAAATTAATCAATTAAACAATCTTCTTTCAAAAAATATTTATTTGATTGAGATATTTTTTTTTTGTTTTTACTTAAATTTTAAAAAAAATCTTCTTTGTTACCACCTGTAGCATTAAACAAATCAATTTAATTAGAACTATCATTTAAACAAATATCAAATGGAAATAGCTTAAAAAGAGATTTGTAAACAATAAGAGAAGAGTAAAAATGACTTTTGAAGTTAAACTTCAAGTTGTTTTAAGTAAAATATTAAGATTTTATTAGTAAAGAAATAACAAAACTTCTTGTGATTACTTTTTTTATATGTAGTTAAAGAATTAATAAAAAGCATTTTTTAATAATAGATTATTTTTTTAAGTAATCTTATTTTTTATATTTTAAAAAATATAAATAAAATTTTATTTTATTTTATTTATTGATTATCAAATTATAAATAAAAAATTCTATGTCAATATTTATTCAAAAACTTTTGCATTATACTATATATTTATATTTTTTTAGATTAATATATATATTATTAACCTTAATTAATAGTTATATTTTTCTTTAATTATTACCTATAATTCTTGTCTATCATATTACTCTAATTCTATTTTTAGATTATATGATACATGTGATATAAAATGTGTCTTATTGATTTATAAATTAAATCCAATCATTAGGGCAAAGTAGTAATTTATATAGTATACATTATTTAATTTCTTTATTATATTATTATATCTTAACTATATTTAGCTAGCAGATTACTCAAGTAAACATATTTACATATTGGCTGGATTTGATAAATCTGATAGATTTGATCACTTTGGTTATCAAATAATTAATACAGTATTCAATTATATATATAAAGGCTAACTGTTTAAAGCAGTTGACCCAAGATTTTATCTATTGAATTTTCTTATCCTTGATATTATATATCTTTAATAAACCTTCTAATTAAATCAAATCACTTAAAACCTTTTTCAATATATTTGCATAACCTCTATTATCCTTAAATTAACAATTTTAGTATACTACAATCAAAATCCTCAAAGTGAATTACTGTTATAGTTATTTTACCTATTTATCTAATTTGAAGATTATTAAATAGATTGACAATATATATTATATTTTATTAACTATGTTTTTATTATTATTAATATATATAAAAGATCATTATATATAATATATAATATATAACAAAACTTTATTATAACTTAAAAACTCTTTTTATGAATTCTCTGATCATACATAAAAAAGATATTCACAAGAAGTTTTTACTAATAAAGTCTTAATATATTTACTAAAACTACTTAAAATATGATTTCAAAAGTTATTCTTATTTTTTACTCTTCTATTTACAAATCTCTTCACTCAAAAACTTGACTTTTAGTGATCAAGAAAAGTCAAGCAATATTTTTGATACCAATGGCAAGAAAGTCTTTAAAGAAAAGAAAAAATAATTGATTGTTAAGTACTTGAAAACTTTTTTAATCTTTAAAGCAAGAGATTTATAGAGATTTTCTATAATAAAAGAATAGTTTTTTTCTTTTTAATTGTTTCAGCCCTCTTAAAGCTTTTACTTTCATAGTTTTTTGAAAAATTTTATCTATCTCAATTTGATTCTAAATTTTGTGTAACATAAATTCTTATGAAAAGTAATTAACTAATACAGAATATATTAGTTTTTGAAATTTAAATAAGCTCTTATTAATTATACATATGTATTCTAATAAAATCATTGATAATTGAAAAAAAGCTCAAGTCTCTTAATAAAGATATTTATAATATCAAAAAATCAAGTAATAGATAATATAGATTGTAAACTTCCATATTTACTTAAGTTTTTTAAATAGTAATAAAGTTTTAATAAAAAAAACTGAAGTTTAAATACTTTCCTAGAAATATTTCAATCTAGTATTTACTTAAATAAAGGATTGGTTAAATTGATCTATTTGAAGCCATAGATAAAGAAGAAATTTTTTTTGATGATTCAAGTGAAGTAATAAGTCTTTTTTAATTAAACAGATTTTTTTTGAAAAAAAGTTGATTTTATTTTTAAACTTTTTAAATAAAACTTGAATTGTCCTTTTTTTCTATTATTTCTCTTTTTTTAACTTAACAATTTATTGATTTTTGAATAAATCAATAGTAACAAACTATTAATAATAATCTTGATAGATGGAGATTATAACCAATATATCAAGAAGTATAATATTGTCTCTAAAATTTAATTTAGAATACTTATGTATAAATATGGATTAGTTATTAAAAAAGTCTATAAACTATTATAAATTTTGTTTTAATTTCTTAATAAAAATAAGCTATTATGGTAAAAAACCCTTTTTGCTAATTCTCTGACACATAAAAAAAAGATGTTCACAAGAAGTTTTTACATTTCCTTACTAATAAAGTTTTAATACTTTTCTAAAACAACTTGAAGTAAGACTTAAAAAGTTACTTCTACCCTTTTTTTATTGTTTACAAATCTCTTTACTTAAAAACTTGACTTATAGTAATTAAGAAAAGTCAAGTAATACCTTTGATACCAATCGTAGAAAAGTTTTAAAAGGATGAAAAACTGACTATAAAGTATCTGAAGACCTTTTTAATCTTTTAATCAATTGGTTTATAGAGATTTTCTGCAGTAAAAAAACTTACTTTATTTCTTTTTGATGTTTTGTCCCTTTTAAAGCTTTTACTTTTACAGTTTTCTGAAAAATTTTGTTTATTTCAATTTAATCTTGAATTTTGCATAGTATAAATTCTTATCAAAAATAATTGGTTGATATAAAACATATCAGTTTTTAAAATATAAACAAGCTCCTATTGATTATAATCATTTGTCTCCATATATCATTAATAATATAAAAAAGAAAATTCTAGAAGAATTATCCCTTCCAATCATATATATTCAACTTTCAAGAAACTATTATGATATTAAAAGATGAGCAATGAGTAGAAAGAAAGATTCAACTTCATATCTTATTAAGTTTCTTAAATAGTAAAAAGACTTTTTTGAATAAAAGCTAAAATCCCCAAGCTTATATTCTGATTAGACAAAGTCTTAAAAAATTTTTTTTATTTTAGTCAAGCAAACTTTTCTATAATATAGTACTAGCTCTAATAGTATTAAACAAATCTATATATTGTAGAAGAATAAGTTCTTAAACATTTTTCTTGAAGTCACTTTTAGGAATAATCAAGTTTTTCAAATATCATAAAGTTTAGAGAATATCCCAATCAGGCAAATACCTTTCAAGAGAAAACTGTAAAATAAAGTAAGAACCTTTTGGAGGACTTTAAATTGTATTTTTTTTTTATTTTCTAGTGCTATACTTTAGCAATTTATTATTTTTCAAAATAATTAATAGTGATAAATTGTTGGCAATGATCCCAGTAGTTAAAAGTTCTAATCAAACTATTAAAAAATTATAATATTGTTTTCTAAATCTGATTTAGAATATCTAATGAGTTAATCACTTTGTAAAAGTCTATAAATGTTGTGTTATCTATTAATATCTCAATAAAGATATACCATTATGGTATAATTATGAGTAAAAAAAATCTAACTTGATAAAGAGTTTAAAAAATATATAATATATATTTTTATTAATTTATAATTATATTATAATAATATATGTATATCTTTATTGAGAAATTAAAACAAAATCTACAATAAATTATAGATTTTTACAAAGTGACTAATTTTATACTAAGTATTCTAAGTCAGATTTTGAAAACAATATTATATTTCCTTGAAAAAACTAATAAATTGTTAAGATAGAAGAAAAAGAGAAAAATAATTGAAGAAGAGAACAGTTCAAGATTTATTAAAAAAGTTTAAAAACAAAGCTATTCTTTTTTAAAAAGAATTGCTTAATTGAAATATTATTTTTATTTTATTTAAATATTATAAAAAATCTTCTTTATTATAACTAGCAATATCAGAGAAGTTAATTCAATTGA